TAACTAGGAATTCACTATGTTTCTAAGGACCTAACTCCATTACTGGACAGTTTTCTTTTTTTTTTCTTTTTATGAGACAGAGTCTCACTCTGTCACCAGACAAGTGCAGTGGCATGATCTTGGCTTACTGCAACCTCTGCCTCGCAGGTTCAAGTGATTCTCCTGCCTCAGCCTCCCAGGTAGCTGGGACTACAGACACGTGTCACCACCCCCGGCTATTTTTTTTGTATTTTTAGTAGAGATGGGGTTTCACTGTGTTGGCCAGGATGGTCTTGATGTCTTGATCTTGTGATCTGCCTGCCTTGGCCTCCCAACGTGCTGGGATTACAGGCATGAGCCACTGCGCCTAGCCTTTTTTTTTTTTTTTTTTTTTTTTTTTTAATGAGATGGCATCTTCTCTGACACCCAGGCTGGAGTGCAGTATGAAATCTCAGCTCACTGCAACCTCCACCTCCTGAGTTTAAGTGATTCTTGTGCCTCAGCCTCCTGAGTAGCTGGGGTTACAGGCAACCACCACCACACCTGGCTAATTTTTTGGTAGAAACAGGGTTTCACCATGTTAACCAGACTGGTCTTAAACTCCCGACCTCGGGTGATCTGCCTGCCTTGACCTCCCAAAGTTCTGTGATTACAGGCATGAGCCACCGCAGCCAACCATTATTGGACAGTTTTAACAGAAAGTGTTTCCTTATATGGGGTTGAAATCAGTCTGCTTATGGTTTATAATCCTCAGACTTGATTCTGGCCCTGAATCTGTATGAAATAAATTTACTCCTATTTGAAAATACTTGTTATATTCCTTCTTATTTTTCCTTAAGCTTTATTTTTTCTTATTATCCATATGACATGTTTCCAGAACCCTCCCTATCCTGGTTGTCCTCCTCTAGACACATTCTTTTAATAATACTTTTCTTAAAACGTATTACCCAAAACAACATAATATTTTTACTGTGGATAATATACTTTTATGAATGGTGCTAATAATGCATAACTTTTTTTAGCAGTCATGTCACCCTGTTGATTTGCACTGAGTCATCATTTCTTAAGAGGGAATCAGGATATCAAAATAGTCTCCAAACTCAGCTGATTCCTTCTCCAAATATACTCTCCACCCTTGATTCCTTTTTGAGAGAAAAGAAAAATGCTTATTTTCATTGCTGAACTCACTGATTTTTAATTTTACCATTTAAATGTTAGCAACACAGCTGGTCATGTAACCAAAGATTTTTTGGCAGGGAGTGATGCATTCAGAGCCTTCATTCTAGCTACAGCGGAGGATGGGCTGGAACAGGAGCATGACAGCATGCCAGGCACACTGTTAAGTGACTGATGGAGTCATTCAGCTGATAGACAATAATGGCCTGGGTTAAGGAAGAAGAGGGGACTAAGAGGTGCCAGAGATACATAGGAAATAAAAATTAATAGGCCTTGGCAACTAATTTTTTTTTTTTTAAGACAATCTTGCTATGTCACCCAGACTGGAGTGCAGTGGTACGATCTCAGCTCACTGCTACCTCTGCCTCCTGGGTTCAAGCAATTCTCGTACCTCAGCCTCCTTCGTGAGTAGCTGGGACTACAGGCTTGCATCACCATGCCCAGCTAATTTTTGTATTTTTAGGAGAGATGGAGTTTTGCCATTTTGGCCAGGCTGGTCTCGAACTTCTGACCTCAAATGATTTGCCTGCCCTGGCCTCCCAAAGTGCTGGGATTACAGGCATGAGCCACTGCACCCCGGTTGGCAACTAATTTGTATGGGAATGACAGTGATTAATGAAAAAGCGGGGAGAAAAGCTGCTCTTGACATCTGAAAGCTGACTTGGCATTCATAGCTAGGCCATGTTATTTTCCTGTTGGGCTTAAGTCTCACAGAATGCCAACATTAAACAAGATGACTCCGACCTTAATAAAGTAAGAAAAAGCAAGTTCACTTCATAATTTTGTCTAAGCACAGGCAAAAAGAGGATCACCATGCCAGCCAGAAAATACCAAACATCACCCTATCTCAGCTAAAATGAGCGACTGCTACTTTTTTACCAGTAACAGCTTTGTCCCAGCTCTAGTCTGCCTTCCCTGTAGAAAAGATGTTTTGAGATAATCATGAAATTCTCTTTCTGATAGTATCCAATCTGGAGCAAACCCATTTCCTTAGACCCTCTCCCAATCCCAGATTCTATACTAGGTTCTTCCAAACACTGTCTTACTGAGACACCCCCTGGTTCCCCATGTTGTGTGTTCTTCTTGGCTGCAATGAGTAATAAACTCAGCTTGTTTAACTAGAGTTGTGTTCCTGATGGTCTCTGGTTGAAGGATGTTGACATTAAGAATAAGAGTTTCTTGCTTGGACAGTCAGGTGTGAGTAGTGCCGGGAATAGAAATAAAGAATACTGGAGGAGGCGAAGAAAGTATCTTCAGTTTTTAACAAAATACCTTTGAGATATTAGTGGGTTATTCCAAGTGGAGATATCCAAGAAGTAATTGGATAAATTTATGGCTCTGGAGTGCAAGAGAGATTTCTGTGCTGAATATCCGTCTATCCATCCATCCATCCATCCATCCATCCATCCACCCACCCACCCACCTACCTACCTTCCTATCTATCTGTACCTACACATAATACACTCAGAAATATATATTTGAGAGCTTTTTGTTGTTGAGGCAGGATCTCTGTTCCTCAGGCTGGAGCACAGTGGCACTATCTTGGCTCACTGCAGCCTTGACCTCCTGTGCCCAAGCAATCCTCCCACCTCAGACTCCCAAGTAGCTGGGACTACAGGCACATACCATCACACCTTGCTCATTTTGTATTTTTATTAGAGATGGAGTTTCACCATGTTACCAAGGATGGTTTCGAAGCCCTGGGCTCAAGCAATCTGCTTTGCCTCAGCCTCCTAAAGTGTTGGGATTACAGGTATGAGCCACTGCACCCAGCCCACTGTGTATATAATAGTTCAAGCTGTAAGATTGGCAGAGAGCACCCAGAGAAGGAAAACAATGAGAAAAGAAAAGGGCTGAGGACAGAGCAGCAAAGAACATCCCATATACTTACGGGTTGGGCAGAAAATGAGATACCCAAAAAAGACTCTTAGAAGAAGTTATCATTGAGAAAAAATAATCAGAAGCAGAAGACCAAAAGTTAGAGAGTTTCAAGGAGGAGGATAAAATTAGTAGTTTTATAGGCTGCTAAAAAATCAAGTAAGATAAAGAGCCCTTCAAGCTATTTGATATATATCCCCATCATTTTTGGAGCACCCCTTTATTTCCTGGCACAATGTTTAGGCTCCTCTTACACTTTCCTTCCTTAGCCCTGGAATCAGCCATTTCTCTTAGGAGTCCTGTATCCTTTTAGTGGAAAGCGATATCTAGAAACCAAGATCTGGTGTACCATTCCTTTTCAGAAGCTTGTCTGTGAAGGGTTATGGCTGTATGATCATCTGTGGGACTGGAAGGACAGGGGCTATCTGGATCAGGTAAAGATGAGCAAAGCATTGTTAGGCATGGTGGCTCATGCCTATAATCCCAGCACTTTGGGAGGCCAAGGTGGGAGGATTGCTTGAGCCCAGGAGTTTGAGACCAGCCTGGGCAACATAGAGATACTTTTTCTCTCCAAAAAAATAAAAAATAAGCCAGGCATGGTGGCAGGAACCTATAGTCCCAGCTACTCAGGAGGGTGAGGTGGGAGGATCCCTTCAGCCTGGGAGGTTGAGGTTGCTGCACTGACCCAGGACAACAAAGTGAAAACCTGTCTCAAACAAAACAAACAAAACAAAACAAAAAACAACGTGCAAAGCAGAGATGGTATGATCAGAACTGAAGCTTCAGGTCAGGCATGGTGGCTCACACCTGTAATCTCAGAACTTTGGGAAGCCAAGGTGGGTGGATCAACTGAGGTCAGGCGTTTGAGACCAGCCTGGCCACTGGCCAACATGGTGAAACCCCTTCTCTACTAAAAATACAAAAATTAGCCGGGCGTGGTGGTGCATGCCTCTAATCCCAGCTACTCAGGATGCTGAGGAACAAGAATCACTTGAGCCTGGAAGGCGGAGGTTGCAGTGAGCCAAGATTGTGCCACTGCACTCCAGCCTGGGCAACAGAGCGATAGACTGTCTCAAAAACAACAGCAAACTGAAGCTTAATGTCAGAAGCAGGTTTAAAGATGATTTGACCTTAAGTCCCAGAGTAGCAAATAGAGCTCCTAAGGTTAGGATTCATTTTTTAAGAAATGTGGAAGCTCTGCCTCCCTATAGACATGAAGTGATCACAGCAGAGGAAAGAGGCCATCTGCCCAGGCTGGGCACCAAGCAAAACCTGAAATCACCTTCAAAATGTTTGGGAAAGATACCTGTGCCAAGAATTTTATCCAGTTGTATAAGCTTTGTATAAACAAAGCAGTTGTAACTTTGTTTATTAAAGTGAGAATTATTTTATTGACTTTAATATTTTTCATTATTAAGGAAATAATGGAATATGTTGGTTCTATTAGTTGAACTAAAATCTTCCAAGGAAGGTTGAAGCATCTGAACCATTTCTGCTCTGGGAAATGCCCATTTTCGTTCCAGAAATGCCTCACAAGGGGACTCCCCCTCCTGGCCATAGCAGATTGGACTTGAGGTGAGTATATTAAGTAGGGCGGACCCACTTATGGTGTTTTGTTCCTTGGTAAGCACATGACTCACACCAGGCCAATGAGGGTCCTTTCTCAGGATTTGAAAAACCAAAGCTGGCCCAAGAGGGTTATTCTCTTTCTAGGACCAACAGAGACAGAGGACATGAGGTTTGTTTGTGGCACAGTTCCTAGGAAGAAGCCAGCACAAGAGAAACAGATGAATAGAGAAGCTTCCAGGCAGTGTTGGAACTTCTGGTCCTGGTCTGTGAGGCCCCAGTATGCGCTTGCTGTCTCAGAATCCTGTGAGCCTCTCTTCCAACACAGATTCCTTTCGGCCTCAGCTAGTTTGACTTTGGGTTTCAATCACATTTCACCAAAAAAAGACTACATTCATAAAGTGACTTCAAATAAGCTTGGTTTTAATTTACATTGTCAAAAGCTAACTTCCTTTTGATAAGTGTCTCATATATCCCACCCAAAATGCTAAGAAATAAAGTGATCACAAATGGCTGATGCATTTTTCCTAATAAAAGCAGCAATTGTTCAAAATATTTTTTTCTATCTATACCTAATATTAGAACATTTATCCAGGCAACCCCCCAAGGATCTCTTTCTTATGAATCACCTTAGCCTAAATTATATTTCCACTTCTATCACATGATTGCACTGAATGTATATTATCACTTCACTCAAATGCTTTCTTCTCTAAAGCAACAAGAAGTAAATCATTTGTAAGAAAAAGTACATACATTACTTTCTTATTTTCTTCCCTTAAGTTACATAAAATTTCCCAGACGCTTACTCAAGCTCATAGTATCTCTAACCATGACTTATTTTAATAAGTGGGACTGTCCCCATTTGCTCTTTTAGATTTCCAAGTTCCTAAGGCTAAGCAGAAACCCTAATCCTTGTGGATATCCAGACAAGTGCTAATTTCAAAGACAGCTATCTAAGCTGGTTAGCGGTTTTGTTCTTTGAAAAGAATCCCGGGTTTGCTTATAATAGCAGGGTTAATCATTGCACCCGTAGTTTTTGTTTGTTTGTTTTTGTTTTGTCTACACATTCTTAGAGCATCAGCCTCCTATTTCCTTCTGGGATTCACCCTTTCTCCATTTGCAGTCTGAGATCTCAGTGGCACTCTGACCCTCTGCATTAGGAGTAGAGTCATGCCCAGGCCAAGACCACCTGCATATGTGTTCCTGAAGTGGGCACATGACCTAAACCAGTACAATTAGAGGACATCTCGAGACTTTTATGAATGCCACCAACAGATAAGTTTTTCTCTCTGTTGGACATGACCTTGAGGGACTATGAGGCTGGCATTTCTGCAGCCATCTTATGACCATGAAAAGATTATCTGAGAATTAAGTCAGCCCAAAGGTCGTCTGAGAGATGGAGAAAGGGAAACCAGGTCCTAATTACTTGCTAATTACCTGAGCCAAAAAAGTAACTTTTCTGCTAAAGCCCATTCAAATGGATCTTTCTGTTACTTACAACCAAAAGATTCCTTTTGTTGTTTGTTTTGCCATCAACTCTTTATTTGCTGCTAGCACAGTCCACCAAGCCTACTGGGCAGCACTGCTGCCAACTATGGCAGGGTCCAGGTCCAGCCCACGGCTCTGCAGCTGGGTCTCCTGCAGCCTCCAGTCATCCGGAGGGGGCCCTGACAGCATCTGGAGACCCCCACGCCAGAGGTGAGGGGTGAAATGGGCTGAGCTCAGGGTTAGTGTTCCCCTAGACACCTCTGGAATTCCTACTTCCTGCTCCCTGCCGAGATGAGCACCCCAAATCCTCCAGAGGGCTGGGATGGGTTAGAGTTGAGAATGGGGCACCCTCAAAGCCCATGGGTCCCTGTGAACCCCTGGAATCAGAAGGCCCTGGCAGGCATCCCCGCCGCCCTCACCCCGATCCCCATCCCTGGGAGCTGGCCAGGATGGAGAGTGGGGGTTCAGAGAAGAGTGAGGGGCAGTGGGGGCTTCTCCCCGGGGGCCATCCTTGTGTGTCCCCGCGGTTCCCTTGCACAGGTGCAGGAGGCCGTCAGGAGTCAGGGCCAGGCGTCAGGGTCCAGCGTCACAGGAGGATGGGCCACAGCAGGAGGCTGTAGAGACGCAGGGCAGTGGCCACGCCCACGCCTCCGTCACGGCCACCGTGGCCCAGTGGTAGAAGCTCACGCAGGCCGTGCGGCAGACTCCGAGGGGCAGGAGCAGGCTGTGGATGACCATGACTACCAGCCCGTTGGCCACTTTATCTGAGAAGCTCATGAGGTCGCCCGTCATGGCCAGCGAGGTGACAACGATGGTGGCACAGCCGGAGTCCCGCAGCACAGCCGCTGCGTACACGGCCACGCCCAGCTCCTCCGCGAGCGCCACCGGCGCGGCAAACGCCAGGAGCACCAGGAGGCCCGAGAAGTAGGTCATGTTCCTCCCGATGCACTCGTTGATGGGCTTCATGAGGAAGGAGAAGCCGCTGAGGTACATCACCACGGGAGTGGTCGCGATGAGCTGCTTGGGCAGATTGGGAGAATAGGTGAGGTACACGCATGTAGGTCTGAGACAGGTTCGCGATGCCCACCTGGTAGAAAACTGGCTCCCAGAAGTCCAGTGCTTCCAGAGCAGCAGGGGCTGGGCGACGGCGGGTGCCACCAGGGGGCTGTGCCGACCAGGCTCCTCTGCCCGCGGCCAGCGCCTCTCCTGGGTGCCCGGGTGGAACAGCAGCGAGATCACGTCACGACACCCACCACCAGCAAGGACAGGTTCCGGAACATGGGCACGTCCTGGCACTCCAGCTGGTCGCTGACTCTGATGTCCTAGGTGGGCCCCGCCCGCGACGAGCCCTGCAGGCGCAGCAGGAGCCAGGCGGCGGAGTAGACGGTGATGTTGGCCACCATGGTGAACGTATACCTGAGTGCACTGAGCTCCACCTTCTCATGACAACCAAAAGATTCTTAACTGCTTTTAAACTTTCAGCAAGTGCCTTTCAGACCTTGTCCACCCTTTAGGATCCTACATGTGATTCTACAAACTAACCCTCCTGCCCTCAAGTCCTCTTTCATTGCTATAATTTTGCCCATGATCTTAAGACATAACCTGACTCTGTTTTATCTCATTTTAATTCTGTTATTTCCAACTATGGATTAAAGATAATCTTTGCCTTCCTATTGCAGTAGCCAGTTTCAGTCGGTTAGATTTCTTATTTATTTATTTATTTATTTTAAGACTCTCTAGATCAGGCTGGAGTGCAGTGGCATGATCTCAGCTCACTGCAACCTCTGCCTCCTGGGCTCAAGCAATTCTTGTACTCCATCCTCTGAATAGCTAGGATTAGGGGTATATGCCACCACACCTGGCTAATTTTTTTGTATTTTTCGTAGGGATGGAGTTTCACCATGTTGGCCAGACTGGTCTCGAACTCCTAACCTCAAGTGATCTGCCTGCCTCGGCCTCCCAAAGCGCTGGGATTACAAAGGTGAGCCACTGCCTGGCCTGGTCTGCTAGATTTCTTAATTTCAGAAGGAAATTGTAGCTATGAGGAAGAGAACCCAAGGAGACATTCGACAGTTCTGAAATATTAAAAACAAATATGATTAACCCTGCCTTGAAAGATTCTATGTAATCCAAGTTTGGTTCAATCTGTCTTTTTTTCCTGTGGTTTTCTTAGTTGTCTTACCCCAGCTTCCCAGCCTTTTTTCTCCAGCTAAATTCCCCTTGCTGTCCTTTGACAGCTATTTCGAACGGTTCCGAGGGGAGTCAGCCAGGGGAAGTCTGAAATATATATTAAATTCAGGCGAGGGGCTGACATTCATTAATGCTCTAGGGTATCCTGGCTCCTAGGTCATTCACATCAAGGAGAGAAACTGGTCTATCCACTTCCATTCTGGCTCCTAATTCTTCTCTAGACCAAAGCCAGGGTGCTTGATTTGCAGTGCAAATCTGATGTCATTTCTGTGCTTTCAACGCTTTAGCATGTGTATTTCATTTTTTAAAACTTTTTATGCACATATCTTCAGTACAGTTTGATGAGTTTTGATAATTGGATATACCTGTGAAACCACCACCCTAAACAAGATAATAGACTATCCCATCATCTCAGAAAGTTCCCTTGCTCCCCATTTCCAGCCATTTCAACCTCTTCTTACCCCCAACCCCAGAGGGGTTGATTCTTGTCACCATAGGTTAGTTTGGTCTATTTTTTGATTTCATACAAATATAGTCATACAAGATAGACTTCTTTGTGCCATGCTAATTTTACTGTACATAATCTTTCTGAGATTCTCCTGTGGTGGTGTGTGATCAGTAGGCTGTTCCTTTTCAATGCTGAGTGTGAATGCCGTATGAATATATGGCTTCTTTTTTTTTGAGACAGAGTCTCACTCTGTCACCCAGGTAACCAGGCTAGAGCGCAGTGGCACATATCTGGGCTCATTGCAACCTCTGCCTCCTGAGTTCAAGCTATTCTCCTGCCTCAGCCTCCCAAGTAGCTGAGATTACAGGTATGTACCACCACAACCAGCGAATTTTTGTATTTTTAGTGGAGACAGGGTTTCACCATGTTGGCAGGCTGGTCTTGAACTCCTGGCCTCAGGTGATGTGCCCACCTCAGCCTCTCAAAGTGCCAGGATTTCAGGTATGAGCCACTGTGCCTGGCCTATGGCAATTTATTTATCCACTCTCCTGTTGACATTTGGGTTGGTTCTAGCTTGGAGCTATTTTAAGCCTGCTATGAATATTTGTCTTCAAGTCCTTTGTGAATATAAATTGCCATTTCTCTCAGGTAATTGCCTGTGAGTAGACTCACCAGATCATAGAGCCTTTGAAAGTCTAAAGACCCATTGTTTTTAGGATGAAAACCCAAACCTAAGGTCCTGTATAGTCCTGACTGCTTCTCTGGAGACATCCTGCATGCTTGCCCCTTCCCTTAACTCTGAACTTCAGCCTCTATGTTCTTCCCTTTGCCTGAAACATGCTTCCTTGTTTCTCTTCCTGTTAACCTTGACTCACCCTTCAGATGTAAACACTGACAACATTAAGGTAAAGACCCGTATTACAGGCATTCCCAGCTCTGTGTTCTTGATGCCCTAGTACTTAACCAAGACTGTGGCTCTATATTGACATGTATTAATATTTGTTTAATGTTTGCTTCTCGTGCCGCAGCAAGCGTCACTAGGGCAGATGTGTTTGTTTTATTCACACAATGCCTAGCCTAGCTTCTGGCAGATAGTAAGCACTCAACAAACCATTGTTGGATGCATAAATAATGGCTGCTCTATACCCCACAACTAAGGAAGAAGTGGGGATTTTCTTCTCTACTTTGGTAAAGTCCCATTTGGTCACCCAGAGAAGGAACCCTCCATGTTCGTATCATGGATTTCTTCATGACCTGGACGCAGCAAGAGGGGAAATGATCAGGCAATCAATGACGTTCAGGCTGTCTGGCTTCCAGGAAAGAGAAAAGATTAAACTTCAGTCGTGATCATTCTTGTCCTAAACAGACCATTATGTAAACCAAATTCCTGCTAAACAGGCTTCCGGTCCAAATAAGACAACAAGGCAATGCACTTAGCAAATATTTCACCTTGAAGGAGGCCAAGACATTTGCTCCTGGTGTTTTTTCCCCTTGGTTTATCTTCTGGAACACCGGGTACTAGGGGCATTCTCAAGACGCCACTGCGTTTCTTGGAAAGTGGGACTGTTTTAGAGTTGTTCCGGAGGCCAGGTGTGGTGGCTTACTCCTGTAATCCTAGCACTTTGGGAGGTCAAGGCAGACGGATCACCTGACGCTAGGCGTTCAAGACCAGCCTGGCTAACATGGTAAAACCTGGTTTCTACTAAAAATACAAAAAAATTAGCTGGGCGTTGTGGTGGGCACCTATAATCCCAGCTGGCTGGCTGAGGCAGGAGAATGGCTTCAACCCTGAGAGGCGGAGGTGGCAGTGAGCTGAGAATGCGCCATTGCACTCTAGCCTGGGTGACAAGAGTGAAACTCCATCTCAAAAAAAAGAAAGTTGTTCCAGAAAAAAATTAGGGTCCATAATGCTCTTCCCTCAATAAAATTTGTTTCCCACATGGAAATGCACCACCGTGGGGCATTTTTACTCTCTGAGTGGCTAGAGTGGAGATGCTGAGTTGAAAGCCACATTTAACAACATGCTGTTACTGTGAGCAAGGCTACTGAAGTGTTTTGCTATGCATCCCCCCAAAATCCCAATACGCGCAGTAAGGAAGATGATTAATATAATCTCACATACCTTCATATGACTCTTTCTCATGGATAATTTTCTCCCCAGGTGGGCTTTTTGTCTGTCTCCAGTGATAATAATGAGTAGACAAGTGTGTGGATACTGTTTCTTCTTTAGATGTTTTGCCTTTGCAAAAATAGTGCAAATCAAAGTGATTCTAAGCAGATGAGCTGTAAGTGTTAAAGAAAACAACATTAGTTTGTGTCACCACCAGACTACTTTTATTGCTATCAGAAAATGAAAGTGTTTTAGGAAACAGCAAATCCCTGTAAAAGGAATAGAATAGGGATTGGTGGTTCTTGAAGAGGATTTGAGGAAGTCAAAGGTGATAATATACGTTAGAAAGTTTGCTAAAATATTTGTCAATTAACTGTTCATACCCTTTGATGTAGTAATTCTTTTCCTGTATATCTGTCCCAAAGCATTCATCATAGATACAGACAAGGGTTTATAAACAAGGAAGGTAATTGCTGCATTATATATAATATGGAGAAATTGGAAATGGCTTAAACATTTAACAAAAAGAGAATGGCTGAATATATTCTGAGGCCTGTTTATCGTATAATGTTAAATTTAATATTTACAGAGAGTACTTAACATAGAGAAAGATTCTAGTGAAAGTAGTACCTACAAAAGGGCCTGAAATATTGTAGGCAATCAGTAAATATTTGTTCATTAATACATAAATGCATTGCTTTTTAAAAATTAAATTGGGCTGCGTATAGTGGCTCACGCCTGTAATCCCAGCACTTTGGGAGGCTGAGGCGGGTGGATCACTTGAGGCCAGGAGTTCAAGACCACCCTGGCTAACAGGGTGAAACCAAGTCTCTACCAAGAATACAAAAATTAACTGGGTGTGGTGACAGGCGCCTGTAATCTCAGCTACTTGGGAGGCTGAGGCAGGAAAATCAGTTGAACCCAGGAGGCAGAGATTGCAGTGAGCCAAGATGGTGCCACTGTACTCCAGCCTGGGTGGCCAGGCAAGACTCTGTCTCAAAAAAATAATTAAATTGAATTTTAAAAATTGATGCATAATAGATGTACATATTTTGGGGGTACAAGTGATGGATTACTTTTTATTTTAAAATATTTTATTTATTTTTATTATTCTTTTGTACTTGATCTTAGCCAAAAGGCTGAGAAGCAATTATTATTATTACTATTTGAGACAGGGACTCACTCTGTCACTCAGGCTGGTGTGCAGTGGTGTTCACCGCAACCTCAAACTCCTGGGCTCAAAGGATCCTCCTGCTTCAGCCTCCTGAGTGCGTGTCACTGTGCCTGGTTAATTTTTTAATTTTTTGTAGAGATGGTGTGTCACAGCGTTGCCTAGGTTGGCCTCAGACTTGGTTTCAGCTATCCTCCTGCCTCAGCCTCCCAAAGTGCTGGCATTATTGGCATAAGCCACTGCACCCACCCTGGATTACTTTTATAATTAAAGCAAAAAAATGATTTAAAAATCTGGCAGAGAAATCAAGGTTAACATAAAAGAGCAACGACAACATAGACGATGTTAACATTCCCGGAAAAGCATTGAATGGAAGAAGGAAAGAAGATGAAAACAACTCCTTCTTTCCCTCCCTCAAAATAAACAACCAAAAACTTGATCTTGAATATGGGCCCATAGAAGAAACTCTTTCAGAACATTTTAGGTGAAAATAGAGTCCATATGCAGTACTGGGTGTGCTTTCATCTAAAATGAGCTTCGGTTAATAGTTCCAGAGCACTTTGTGTATGCTAGCAATTTTTTCTGAGATCTTGGTTTGAGGATCCCTCCTAATTTAAGAGAATTTTATCCATTCACTGTTTTGTTAGGTGAAGAGTTGGACATATTTCTGTCCATCAAACAGCCTCAATTCAAAGACAGACCACCTGACTGATTTCCTACTTTTGGTCATCTAAAATAAAGACTGGCAACTGCGGGCATTCCTGAAAAGCGTTTGCCTTGTCCATTTGAGCTTATTTTTAAAGAATGACTCATGGCCAATCTGCACTCCAGCTTTTGATACTTAAGAGTGAGAGTGAGTGAGTGAGAGAGAGAGAGAGACAGAGTGTAGAGGAATGGCAGATAGAGGTACAAAAAGAAAATGAACAAAGAAATGTGGGTTGGAAGCCATACTCTAAGCTAAGGACTGCATCTAATTGGAAATTAGGGGCCAACATACACCTACAGTGGTATAAAACTAAGATCAGGACAAAGCCATCGAAGTCCAAGGTTACTCCAAGGGATAGATACATGGGTGTGAAGCAAATGACATCGTGACTCTGTGTGGGCAGACCCAGTTTTGAGGAGTCTGGGGAAATGTTAAAATTTTGGAAACCCTCTTGAAGAAAAGAATACAATTTTAGGATACAAATACAGATGCTCCTCAACTTAGATGGAATTGCATCCTGATATACCTACCATAAATTGAAAATATTCTAAGTCAGAAATGTGGCCAGGTATGGTGGCTCATGCCTGTAATCCCAGCATTTTGAGAGGCCTAGGTGGGAGGATTGCTTGATCCCAGGAGTTCTAGATCAGCCTGGGCAACATAATAGACCCTGTCTCTACAAAAAAATTTAAAAATTAGCTCAGCGTGGTGGCACATGCCTATAGTCCTAGCTACTAGGGAGACTGAGGTGGGAGGATCATTTGAGCCTGGGAAGTAGAGACTGCAGTGAGCCATGATGGCACCACTGCACTCTAGCCCGGGTGACAGAATGAGACCCTATCTCAAAAAAAAAAAAAAGGGAAAAAAAGGAAATGTACCCCTAACCGACTGAATATCATAGCTCAGCCTCGTCTGCCTTAACTGTGCTCAGGACACTTACATGAGTCTACAGTTGGACAAAATCATTGAACACAAGTGTGTTTTATAATAAGTGTTGAACATCTCATGTAATGTACTGAATACAGTACATTGTAGAGTACAGTATTGGTCATTTACCCTCGTGATCTCGTGGCTGGCTGGGATCTGTGGTTGGTACCACTGCCCAGCATCTCAAGAGACTATCTATTGCATATTGCTAGCCCAGGAAAAGATTACAATTCAAAATACAAAGTATGATTTCTACTGAGTGTGCATCACTTTTACACCATTGTAAAGTCAAAAAATCGTAAGTCGGGGACCATCTGTACAATAATAAGACAACGTGGCAGTGATTACTAAACACATAAATACATTCACTAAACCCGACTTTGTGTATCCTAAACCAACTCTCCCTAAGCCATATAATGTCCAGAGGCACTCCAGAGTTCTCTGACACGAGAGAGATTGTGATGGAAGGAAAGTCAGAGAGAAAGGACTTATTTGTTAACGTGCACGGCCAGGCGTGGTGGCCCATGTCTGTAATCCCAGCACTTTAGGAGGCAGAGGCTGGTAGACCACCTGAGGTCAGGAGTTAGAGACCAGCCTGGCCAACATGGTGAAACCCTGTCTCTACTAAAAAGACAAAAATTAGCTAGGTGTGGTAGCAGGTGCCTGTAATCCCAGCTACTTGGGAGGCTGAGGCAGAAGAATCACTTGAACCTGGGAGGCAGAGGTTGCAGTGAGCCAAAAGCATCCCATTGCACTCCAGCCTGGGCAACAAGAGTGAAACTGTATCTCAAAAAACAAAATAAAGGCCAGGTATGGTAGCTCACGCTTGTAATCTTAGCACTTTGGGAGGCCGAGGC